CTGCTTTGTTCTAAAGCGTATGCCGAAATACCTGAGAGTATCCAGCACAACCTTGCTAGCCAACATTTATATATCCCCAGTTGCCCAAGAGCAGAAGGTGACAAATTTCATGAGGACTTCACGGCTGCTGTCATTGTACACATCGACCATTCCCTATGCAAGTATGCCAATGATTTTAATAGGTTTAACTCCACATTCCTCTCAACACTTGGACTACTGGACATCGTGAAATCCCCAGTACGTTAGTAGAAACTCTGGACTTAGTGTTTGTTAACAAGCTGTGGATTTTTTCAGTCTGGACTCGGCTACCACTTAGACGCTCTAACAATTCGAGAGTTAAAATATCGCCAGTCGTCTACAGTAATACGAACCACAAGGAAGTCACGCGCTGCAGTGAAAATAAAATCCACAAAACATAGAACAATTGAAAATAATAGTTGTTTCTACAGCTTTCGGTTTGCTTTTCGATGCAATGTCTCAACAGATTGTGAGCGGACGACAAGTTATTAAAACTTCTGTTTTGATCTCCGCTGTCCGATGGAAACTATTTGCTTTCGTGCTGTGCGGTTCTCCTGACCACTCCTTAAGCAACTGCGTTGACTTAAGGAACGAACCTACAAGGTTGACCATCGTGCCTCAGCAAAGTTTTTCTCTACGCATCAGGGAAGCAACATACCACCCCAGACATGCGCACGTCTAGACAATTCTGAAGAACAATAATTCCTGTGAGATTTGACAGATGATGAAACCATCTAGTCGTGGCGCTCCTCATATTACGAATTCTGACAGGCATAGAAGAATTGACTCGCAACTTCTGCTGCTCCAGCAGTGACTCATTCCCCAACTCGTCTTCTGCACAGATTCAGCAGACTACAGACTCATCGCCAGTTGTTGATTTTACAGCCCTTCACAGGAAGGTTACCCAACTAAACTCAAGCAAACCAAGCGGGCATCGCCGGTTCTCTCTCTTCAATAAGCCGACCACTAGCTGAGCCGTGCACCGTGTGTCGGAACCAAAGCAAGATCGTAGGGTGTTAGCGAGCTACTAGCGTACCACCAATGCTGAAGAAAGCGGCAGGTAAATATCGACCTTTTGCTTTCAGTTCCGTGACTTTAAGGTCTTCGAGAAATGCATTCCTGAAGAATTGCAAACCTAATCCTGTCTGATTGGCAAACATTTATTTTCATACTGAAGTTTGACGTTGACACAAGACGCACTGGTTTGTCTAGTGCATGCAGTGCTATCATCGCTAAACCACATGAACGTAGCCACACGTTTATGTTTTCTTGACTATACCAACACCTTCGTTTGTGTTAACTGTGAAATCTTGTAGGAAGGACTCCTGATTGCTATTATCCAACCATCCATAGCCTTCTTACAATAGGATTCTTCTGCCAAGCGTACTCATACATTCAGATTCACCCGCAGGAGTACCTTGCCTCTCACCATTACTTCTGGTATCCTACAGAAAGCCATTTTTTCACCAATCATATTCTCTACCTACATTGGCTCCTTTCCTGTACCTGAAGAAGATATAATGTTAAAATAGGCCGGGGAAGTCGGCGCGAATCATTTAACATCAGCCTCTTCGACCATGCCAGAATATTGTTTAGATAAAATGCGTAGGATTCATGTGCGTACTGATCAGAATTTATTTCAATCTAACCTAGATATCTTACATCAGTGGTCAACCCAAAATCTGCTACAGTTCAGCTTGAGCAAATTCAAGGGACTCTGCATACGATCCAGATTACCAATTCTTGCAGGGTCGGAATGCACTTAATGCGAACTCCGCAGTCGAATTTGAACTTGACGTGGTGCTTCAGGATGAATTGGGCATCGGAAATTAGTATCCTAGACGTTGTGCTTTTACGAAGTGCGTTGGTACAAATAAAGGCTTCTATTTTCAGGTAAATGCTCAATACGTGTTTTCTCCCCCATATGGAATACGAAGTTAAAACCTGGCAGCCATGTCTGAATCACAACGTCACATCTCTCGACTAACCACAGTTTCGGGCTTATAAATGGATGTTGAAATACAAAATTTGCTACATGATTTAAGGCTGCAACTTTTAGGAATATTCAACGTGCAGCATCGCTGGCTGTGAGATAACTGTGTACTTGATCTGTACAATCCAATTCATGTGCATCACACATTTCCACAACTAAGCAGTAACACTAACCTGAGAGCTTACGCCCTGGAATCGGCAGAATAGCACAACAGTCTGGAGAACCGTAGAGATTTCTTTTCCATTCACATGTGCTAAACATAGAGCGCTGTCCCCAAATCGGTTGTTACTGCATATAGAGTAGCCATATTTTGTATGTCAGTGGGATGATGCACTCGACCACTTACCTTTTCTTACTTAACGCTACTCTCCATCCTACTCCAGGGAAATACTTTAGATGTAATTTGCTTTGGCTTTTGAAGCTATGGAAATTCTTAGGGGTGCAAATCTACTGCGTTAAAGATGATATGCACATTCTCTTGACAGTAAAATGCTGAGGATATTTTTTAATAACGGGTTTCGATGACTCGCCAAACCATCCAAGGTGACTTAAGATACAGTGCTCCTGAAGCCCTATAACTCCGTCTGCATTGTTCATTACGAGATTTTAAATGCTTTAGTTCGAGGTTCGAGCAGTTGAGGGAATATAGCTGCGGCAGTTATGAATGTAAGCACGAGCTGAGTAGCAAGCAATGTGGCTGGAGTCTAAGTTTGGATGTATGCGTAGGTACAATGTTGTACGGAGACAACTTTTTGACACTTCCAGTTGGATGTCGTCCACCGACCAACAAGGTGTTCATCACACTACTTTAGTAAGATGACAAAACCGTTTTCAGCAAACATTTGCGCGACCTATTTCTCTGCACCGCAAATAATTTAGATTTGACGTCGGTCCTAAATACGTCGCAGTAGGAGGTTCTTGATGAGCTAAGGCATGTGATTCGTTAACAATCGTAAATCAAAACATGACACTTAATTTCTTGATGAAATGTGGCTCGAGTGGTTTGAGAAACGAAAAATGTTCTTCAGACAGTTTTCAGTCATTCGTCCGTGAATATCATTTATCGCTGCTTGAAAGCTTGCATAGCTGATATCGAAATGTGCCTCGGTGTATCTGTAGGGATTAAATGGGTGCTCTGCGCTCCGAGAGGAGAAGAGCTGAGGACTTGATCTGAATTTAACAAGCGAGAAATCGATGCTTTGGTTTAAATGTACAAATGGCTCAGGCAATGCCGACAGAGATACATAATCTTCATCCGACTTTCCTGGATTCCGTGACATGGTTAACTGGCGTATGGGCAGAAATGCCGGATTGACCGTACGCTTTCTCCATCTGGGTCCAAGCGCATGTAATTACTAGAAAATACATCACACACATATGACCATCCAATAGGACACGCTTTGTAAAATCGTTCGCAATTCATTACCTGACAAGCAGTGTGAAATTGTAAATGTAGAGATCCAGAGAAATAAGGGGGCGGGTTTTGTAAGCACTAGTATCTTTGAGTGCTCTTCTCCAGAATGTGTGCTCGGAAAGCCTCAAGTGACACCAAGAATGAAAAGGGAAGACAGTCCAGCGTCAGGTTTTCGAAACTGTGACCAGTTCGTTTGGCACAGACGATCACACTTCTAATTTTGGCATGAATAAGGAAGTATATATACCATCCTGAAGTTCTGTTTAACACCGCGATGGTCTTTTGTTGACTAAGAGAAACAGTTAGCTTTGAGAAAGCAATGGACGTGAAAGGTGCAAAGATTCTGTGGACTACACAAATAATGCAGACTGCTTAATCGAAGACAATGACTGTTGGAACAAGATACTAAGGAGTAACGTTATAAATGAAGGCTTGCCAAGAGAATGCACACGGAACCTTCTCACGTAATGCGCTCAGCCACAGGACAGTAGGGGGCATGTGCAAATTCAACCTGGGACTAAGTATACTTGTCGCGACGTGGGACTGACGCGTCATCATGTATGAGGTTCTTTTGTATGCATTTCGATTACGGAAATCAACGACTGAGTATTACCTCTGTTTCGATGTATACGGTATCATGTACGGGTGCCAATGACTATACTCTGTACACAATAAGAAGTTGCTTTAACCATGTCTTTTTATACAATTCAGGATGATAATGTCTGAACGCTGTATTTCACTCTGGCACAATCGAGATTGATAGGCCATGTTCATTCAAACTGTCGAAAAGCGTAAGCGCTGGGTGTTTGTTCTGACTTTTGTCAGGCCACATAATGTATATGTTTCGTATGAGTGTCTCCTTGTGATGACTGGAAACATGCCTACGCGAGCCATGACACACAAAGCATGCGAGCAAGAGATGCTACAACTACTTCCAGTAGCGTTGTGCCACGGCACCAGCGGTGACGCAATACGAAATCAGCTTATACTGTGGCGCAAATGAAGACGTTGTTCTGAAGCACACCACCGTACATAAAGAAGCATTAAACGCAGTATGTAATAGAGTTACGGCAAGTAAGGTATGGTTATCTAAACCTCCATACAGACAGAAATATGCAATCAGGAACAACACAGAAGCACAATGAGCGCTGGATGGCAATTTCATGAAAATAATTGGTGTACATTCTCGTATGTTAAGATAAATATTTGCAATTGATTAACAGAAACACATAAAAGCATTCTTGTATGTGATACGCTTGCAACAAAATGCATTAGGGATTAGCGTTCACATAGAGGAAGACTGGCATGCTTCAACGAGCGGCGTAATATGACATCTCATTAGTTTAAACCCACTCAGTACATCAGTTTCAAGACAAGTACACAGTGATGCCACAAGAAAGATTACTATGGGAACAACTGAGTGGATGGGAAAAGTGAATGTTCATTACTTACCTGATCCTTTTTGTAAGCCGCGTCATTATAATCGTTAGCAGTCTGAGCAGGTTTGCGGCGTAAAACAGTGGAATATTGTCAGTGGATAGCTCAGATATAGTTCATATAAAAACATTCCGAGCAGTAGACTAGAGCAGAATGATGTAAAATGGAGCCCATTTTTAATATCATGCGCGAAATTGTACATCCCTGCAGATTATTTGCGCAAAGCGGTCTGGCATTATATGTTCAAAATGCTTCACAGACATCAGCTGTGAATGGCTTAATTAGGACAGCTATAACCGTTCGAATTTGTTTCATCACGGTTGGCGCATTTAACCTTTTCGACAGATTTCATAGACCTGGGAGAGCATTTGATGTCTTTCATCACCTAGAAATGTAATAGTTGACACGGAACTCTGGTCCACAATTTGTGGTCGGAAGAAATCAATCGCAACTGGATACAACTGCAATAGCGGTAGGACCGTCCTATATTAGTAAGATTCGTTGCAGAGCTAATTCAATTCCTTAAATTGAACCTAAATAAGTAATTGCGGTCAAGCAGCATCCTTGTTTTAGTTTGCATGTATCCTGTCTGTTATTTTGCGTTGTTTAACCGACAAGTCGGTCGTGCTTAGGTACAGTTCCTTTAACGCCCGGGTCAATTCAGAAGTCAAACTGGGACAGAGCCAATGTAGATAATTATATCAATCAAATAAATAATCAGCGATTATATTCGCTAGTAGCAATCGGCCAGTATGACATACCGAATCGAAACACCAGTTACTTAAAAGGATTTGGTCAAGCAGCCAGTTGAGATTGTCGGGCTCAGAAACCTTTTCAAATAATTCGATTTATAAATTATTCAACCAGCCCGCTGGATGCGGAGGTGTGACATAATTGAATGCAACATTACGTTACGACAATTCGCAGAGTAGCGGAAAGAAAGTGGATGGAACTATAAGGTGGCTACAACCGAAGAGCAAATGTGGGTCGACAGAATGAAATCGATTAGTTAACTTTGAGTTAGTCTGCTCACACAGTTTCATTGTGTACAATCCAAAGTGTTCAAATGTTTCCTAGCGAAAGGCAAGAGATCGAGACAACTCCTCAGAATCTGTGTGGCGTGTTTGAGCATCGCATTGGTTTACTGTACGCTTCTCCCATTCTAGAGTTGCAACCAGTTAGCAGAAGATGTTAAAGAGCAAGTGAGCGTTAAGTTTATGGTTCTGGAAGCGAGTATGCACCATGATAACGATGTAGACTCAAGAAAGGCAAAAATGGAAATTTTGTTTTTCCCAAACCACGATCGATAAGGGCCCCATTGGTGTTATCTCCTTTAATTTTGTAAAAAGGGAAGGCGAAAACAGGTCGGACATTGATGGTTCAGCGGTACTCGGGACTAGGAAAATCAGGCGCCATCCGAAATATGTGATCGACCAAATTCCGCCGGTCGTGACAACTTGTATCATTGACAAGGAAAGATAACCCGAACACGAGTCTTCTGCAACGCCAACTCAGTGGGCTTTGGTCAAATTGGAATCTTCGGGACTTCAGTCACATACATAGAAATCGCTGAAAAACCACTCGGGATGCTACATTTAGTGTTTCCTCTGTGGAAAACCCCGATGACGCGAACAGAGAGATAGACAGTAGACCACCATCACTTATCGTAAAGCCGGGACCAATGACCAGCCGACCTTTTAGATCTGCAATAAGGGAAACCAACATTAAAGTCCTGACCGTTGTGTGCACACATGTCTCCAAATCTATCGCCATCACATTGCGGGTTTACTTCTCTGTCTAATAAAACTAGTGGAGCGCACTTTGCACTCAAATGAATGCAAAAGTCAAACCCACAAACATAGTAGGAGGTACTCGCCATCCGAACTCTGCACAATATCGCGAACCCAGATTTATTAGAGCAACACTAGCATCTCCCACTGATGTACAAAATATTTCACATTTTGCAAGGACCCTACAACACCTATTTAGTAGGTTACGCGGCTAACGTGACCCGTGAATCACGCGACACTCTAAACTAAACCTCACATGAAGGACACAGCAAGCTAAATTGTCTAATCATAAGATACATTTCTAGTGCGCAATAGCTACTTCCAAAGGGACCGGTAATCACAATATAGAGCAACGGCGGTCCATCCATTTCTCGGGCAACTTTGTAAAGCATTCACCCAGAAGACTACAACTCTTACCAAATTATAGAGAATGAAGCTAAAGATTCATAAAACATGTGGTTTCGTCAACACGAAAAGCCAAGGAGTGTTGGAATTTTGCCAGAATCATCAAAAACATACTAACTAAACTCGCGTTGAAAGCTGCAGAAGTGTTCCAAAGACCATACATAAGTGCAACTAAAACAACAAGTCTGCCGGCGATTACATAGGAGCTTCAAATTACCGTTCGGTCACGCCTTTCGATAGTGTGATCAGAGTGGCGGTTATATATACCTTGGACAACTCAAGCAGCGGACCATGTACCAACATCTCATCAGAAAACAAATAAGGGCCGAGCACACGTTTGTCCGTCTTCACCTTAACCTGGCTTCTGCAGCAAGGAGGAACTAAATTACATTTACTCCAATGCTTGAAAACTTTTTAATGAGCTGGCCGAATCGAAATATCGCCAGCTTTAAAAACAATGCGACATTATCAGCGTCAAGGAGATACGGCTGCACACTGGAATGACGGAAACTGGAATCTCGCTGCCACGCATTTCTCTGGTTCCGCAAAGACAGGCTTACGATAGGAGGAGTAGTAATTCTGCATCACCGAAGCGGTCTAGAGCGCGAACCCTTGCCGGATTCAGTCTAACAGTTCGCCCATACTCTTTGGTGCCGCATGCAATCACATGGTAGAAACACATGCATTAAAACTTAGGTGTGCTGTTCCCAAACCCTACATTCGAAATGAAATACCACCTTACTTAAGCTATAAGATCTAGTTCAAAGCGAAAACGAACACACATCTTTTTCATGGAATTTTTGATTTGATGCAGTTAGATAACAGATCAATTTTAAAGCACTTTTAAAGTTAGAATCACGAAGTTTTGCCCACTAGTCTCAGAACAGGTGACAAACCATCTTTGTTGAATTTTGTGTTTACAAACGAAGAACAAATGCTTGCTGTGTTGGTTGTAGACTGTCTTTCGCGTCGTTATGACAAAGCGGTCATCAGTTTTGGCTTCATCTGCTTTGCGGAATATTGTCGCAAGAATCCAATGATGCTGCGCTCAAATGCATGCTGTGATCGCTCGTCAGTTCCACAACCTAGTCTTTCCCAGCAGCAACCCACCCGGAGATCGCTTGGCTCGAGTTAGACAGCGAATTTAAGCAACTTTAAACGGATTCCTCAGAACCAATTTTCTGCAATGAACTTAAACCCGTTTCATTCGTACGAGGCAAAACTAGAAGATGAACGACTGTAATTAAAGCAGCTTTAGGGAGAATAGCTAGAGAATAGACAGATAGATAGATAGATAGATAGATAGAGAGTAGAATAGATAGAATAGAATAGATAGAGAATAGATACTAGATAACAATAGATAATATATAATCGCCATGGCCTGTAGACTAAGGCAACTAGGTAGCACTAACTATCTAATATCCTCAAGCGATAAGGTAGGACATAGCTGGATTTTAGCAAAACATGGCGAAAACTTCAAAAGCTAAACAAAAACTGTTGTTCTGGGATCTCAGTGGCCTTCTCAACGCGCGGCATGTAATTCCTCCAATCCAGACGTCTGATGGTATAAATAGAACAGCTATCGAAGTAGGAATTTGTCGCCGCATTTCAAAAGGTTTACACTTCAGGCGGTCTTCCAGGAAAAACCTTCATTTTGTAACGTGCCAAAGCTGTATTTCAGAAGCTGGTTTCTCGTGCAACCACGAGTTCTCGTAATCGACACAATTTGCCAAAAAACACTGGAAGATGCACCAATTCAGTGCTTAGAACATAACTTGTTGCTTGTCTTTAGGAAAATGGAGCCTTAGATCCTATTCTCAATTGAGGATGCAAGATTAAGCCCTTAAAATACCGCCGAGTATCTCTTATCCCTTTAGCGAACGTGCGTGCAAATCGTTCACTTATGCACCCGTGGTCTTTTTCACTGGGGCTCAGCGGCTTTTTGCCGCACAACTTTGGATCTATACTCAAGCGCCGTTCTTTTAAAAGCGCCACCATGTGATACTATTTTCTCGAGTACACTCCCGTACATACTACATTTACCCTGAATTCTAAATTCCGGGCATTGTTTCGCCGATATCCAAGCGCCAAAACTTGCCTAACTCCAACTATCTGAGCCATTGTTTGGTTTCACTCGATAGACCATTTCAACGGCTTTCGGATGAACTGTCACTCGGTCAAATCATCACTGTCACATCGTTCAAAACATTGCTTGGTGCAGCTACAGATCTCAAAGCAAATTCACCCGGCGTTATTCATAGGATTAAACACGAAAATTCTTAATCACACCTTCGTGTATTCTGCCCCACGTTCAAGCTGACACATTCGACTGGCACGCCAGAGAGGACAGTCTACAAGCGCATAGCTGCGACGTGAACACTGACCTTACCGACAACGTGAATAACAGAACGACTTTTTACCCTAGAGGGTGAGTCATTCAAAGGGTTCGTAACATTTGCTCAACAAGCGTGATGCCCAGTGTGCCACAGACTAATGACCGATGTGGATCATGTTCCAAACTTGTTAAGGGGGGTATTTTGTGCCGTAACTGTTGCAAGTTCTTCCATGCGAGATGCCTCCGAGTTAAACCTAGTCAGGCCAAGTTATTAAACAAACCAGACTCTCTATGGTTCTGTGCGGAATGCACATCGATCCCACTGATAAAAAGCGTGCTCCTATTATCTCAGAAGTATGATCAGCTACTAGCCAAGTTTGAGGAAATGGTGACCACCAAAATCACTACGGTTGGGGTAAGCATAGCGGACTGTGCAACCCAATCCTCCCCCTTGGTTGCTGCTCCTAACCCACGAAGAACTGTTATTAACACCGTAAGCAACACGACACCTGAGTCCAGAACATCAA